GACTCTCCCTCCCCTCGCGGCCGCGGCTGCCTCCGCCTCCCTCTCTCGCTCCAGCCGCCGCGGCGGCCGCGGCCGGCGCCATCTTGGCAGTGACGGAGGCGCGGGGGCGGGTCCTGCGCCCACGAGCGCCAATCGCAGGCCGGTCTGGCCCGAGGGGCGGGAAGGCCTCGTCGGGGGTCATGGGGTCCTAGCGCCGGCCTCGCGGGAGGGGGCGGGGCCGAGGCTGGCAGAGAAGCGCGACAGGGTTCCCTGCGGGGTGGAGAGATGCCCGGCCCCGGCGGGCGTGGGCGAGGCCGGCGCCCGCTTCCCCTTCTCCCTCCCGGAGGCGCGTGGACTCCGCTCTCGCCGCGACCCGCCTCTCCCGCCGGCGGCTCCTGGAAACTCCCTGCGGGCCGGCCGCCACCGCGCGGGTTTCGAGCCGGAGACAGAAGACCGAGGACCGCGGGAAGCCCGGGGAGTTTCTCCGAGAAGTCCCCTGATGAGATGCCCCTCGTGGGTCCAAAGGTGTGGCCGGCTTGAAACTGCCAGTGGCCGGGCGTTCAAGGCTGTTGGCAGAGGAGTGCGCTGGAGGCCGATCACCCCCAGGGCTGCCAGAGTGCTAAATTCCATGTTACGTCGAGGTGCCGGGCACAGTGCCTGACAGCGCTCCATAAGTTGAGGAAGAGGGACCCTACAAATCCCCGTTTTCTTTTTTTTTGTTTTTAAGATGTGGGGTATCAAATCCCCGTTTCAAGCCAGCATTCCCTGAATTGCACAGTCAGTCGGTCAGCAAACATTCACTGAAACCCAGGCGGAGGGGATGAGTGGAGAGGGAAAGAGCAACCCTGCACCTGGGAGCTGCAGTCTGGCGGGAGATGAGACTAGTCCTCCACCACTTTGGGAGGGAAACATGGTATAAAGGTTATGAACAGAATCCTAATTATGGGGTAGCAAATTACAGTGTGGTTGAAAGAAACAGTGATCAGGGCAGGCCCTTGAAGGATGAGAAGAAGGCAGTTACGTGAGGAAGGCCTGGGAGCCGTTAAGACCAAGGGAGAAGCTATGCAAAGGCCCTGTGGTGGGAAAGGACTTGTCCGTGGTGCTGAAGGGTCCTATGCTACACGGAGGAGCTGAGACCCGGATCGGGGGTGGGTGGGCCAGTCCTGCAGTGCGTGGGAAGACAGAAACAAGGCTAGACTTACTCCAGTTTCTTTTCTTCTTTTTAGTTCCTTTTTTAAATTTTTTATTTTAAAGATATGGGGTATAATTCAGGGTTAGGTATACAAATGTTCATTATGCAAGTACCCTTGTTGATTAGCTGTGCCCGCCCACCCCCCGGCAGTTCCCCTATCCTTTTCTTATAGTATTATGATAATTGTTCAAGGTCCACTTATCAGTGAGAACACGTGATACTCAGTTCTTTGTTTCTGTGATAGATCACTCAGTATTATAGACTTTAAGTCGACCCAAGTTGCTGTGAGGTTCATAATTTTGTCCTTTTATGGCTGCATAATATTCCATCGTGTATATGTACCATGTTGGATTTTTTTTAATCCAGTCCTCTTTTGATGGGCAGTACGGTTGGTTCCATGTTTTTGCTATTGTGAACAATGCTGCAATAAACATATGTGTGCAGGTATCTTTTCCATAGAGTGATTTGAGTTCCTCCTGGTATATTCCCAGTAGGGAAATTGTGGGGTCATATGGAAGGTCAATTTTTAGAACTTTTAGGAATCGTCAAACTGTTTTCCACAGAATCTACACTCCAACCAATGGTGTAGAAGTGTTTGCTTCCCCCCCCCACATCCTCTCCAGCATGTGTTGTTTTCTGAGTTATTGATGATGGCCATCCTGACTGAAGTTAGGTGGTATCTCAGTGTAGTTTTAATTTGCATTTCTTTGATGACTAGTGAGGTTGGGCATTTCTTCATTTATCTGTTGGCTGCTCGTATGTCTTCTTTTGAGAAGTGTGTATTCATATCTTTTGCCCATTTTGTAATGGGGCAGTTTGGTTTTTTTCTTTTCGGCATGTTTGAGTTCCTTGTAGATCCTTTGTCAGACATGCAGTTGGCAAATATTTTTTCCCAGTCTGTGGGCTGTCTCCCTGTTCTCTTGATGGTTTCTTTGGCTTTGCAGAAGCTTGTCAGTTTGATGAGGTCCCACTTGTCTATCTTATCTCTTAGAGCATGGGCACTTGGTGTTTTGATCAGAAATTGGTTGCCAGTTTCAATTTCATAAGTTTGAGGTTTTACATTCAGGTCTTTGATCCATTTAGAGTTGATTTTTGTGTATGGTGATAGATAGGGGTCTTGCTTTAATCTTCTACATGTGGTCAGCCAGTTTTCTCAACACCATTTACTGAACAGGTTCTCCAGTTTAAAGAGGAAGCTATGGAAGGGTACTAAGAAGGGAACTACTATTAGAGCAAGGGGGTTGGGAATAGTGGTGTTTGCAGCGTGACTATATTTATAGGTATATATTTTATATGTCAGGGAATATGTGGACCAAAGAACTGGATTTAAAGTTCAAAACAAAGATGGGCACAGTGGCTCATGTCTGTCATCCCAGCACTTTGGGAGGCAGAGGCGAGGGCATTGCCTGAGCCCAGGAGTTCCAACCTGGGCAACTTGGTGAGACCTTGTCTCTACAGTAAATAAAATAATTAGCCAGGTGTTCCAGCTACTTGGAAGGCTGAGGAGGAAGGATCACTTGAGCTCTGAAGGTCGAGACTCTGGTGGCTGTGATCACGCCACTGTGCTCCAACCTGGGTGATAGAGTGAGACTCCAACTCAAAAAAAAAAAAAGTCTGGTATTGAGCCTCTTTAACACTTAGTTGACCAAATTATATATCCTGATCTTCAGTTTCCTTATTGTTAAAAAAAAAAAGTGAACCTCAAATAACATTATGCACAGAAAAACACTGTTTTCACTGAAAATTGCTAAATAATGTAACATTTCTGTTTCCTATGTCTTGTCAGTATCATTTGCCTAATAAATGCTATTCGATGAGTACATGTGTGCTTTCTTTTACTGAATGCAAGTAGTCATCTAAACCAGTCATTCTTAGTCATTTTTGCACAATGTGCTGCTAGGGAAAAGAATATGGCCTATGGTGTGTAATTTTTTTTTCTGTAGTTCCAAATGTATTTTAAAGTGCTTAGCTTCCCAATTTTCTATAAAAGTTGCTGCATATCAAGACATGAATTTTTTTGTGGTAAAATACATAACATAAAGTTTCCCACTTTAACCATGTTTAAGTGTACAGTTCCATGACGTTAAGTGCATTCACACTGTTGCACGTCACCGCCATCCCTTTCCCCCTTCTCCCCCTTCCCAGCCCCTGACAACTACTATTCAACTTTCAAAGATAATATATCTTTTTAAGGTATCAGCGAATTTTTCTTCCCACCCCCAAAAAGCAGTACATAGGCTTGACCATAAGTAGAACTATTTGCTTCAGTTGAAAGGTTCAGTGGACCATGGCATATACCACTGCCAAGAAATGAGGATTATGTAAACTTTGAGCTCAGCTGGCTTCATGCAGTGCTAATGAGGAGTGCTGCTGTAGGAGCAATTAACTTAGCTCTAGAACCCTGTGTCCCATCACCATGAAGGGTGCTCTCTTAGCACCTGCCCCCAATTCATGCACAACTGCTCTGAATGCATATCTCATTAGTGCTATTGATTTTCATTTAAAAAAATACATGATTCTATTGGAAAACATCCATCATTTAAAAAAATACATGATTCTATTGGAAAACATCATCCTAACTCAGGAACAGAACACCAAATGTGCTGGACACAGTGGCTCACACCAGTAATTCCAGCACTTTGGGAGTCTGAGGCAGGAGGATTGCTTGAGTCTAGGGGTTTGAGACCAGCCT